GGCCATGGAAGGGGATCCGGCCCCCGGGAAAAATTTCAAAAAATGAATCCAATTGCCAGCATTTCCGGGCATTTGGTGCCATGCGAGTGTACGGTAACTACAATGAAAGACTTTTTGATTCTGCAACAAACCAAGAAGACGCTACGATCGGGGACAAACATCACCCTCCCCGGGAAGAATTTCAAAAATTGAAGCCAATTGCAAGCATTTCCAGTCATTTGATGCCATTTCAGTGTAACTGCAATGAAAGACTTTTTGATTCTGCAACAAACCACGATCGGGGACAAGGATTTGCCACGTTTGTGCTTAGCTGCGATCATCACGCTGTGTTGCAGTGTGCTCCAAAACAAAACAAAAACAACAAAAAAAGCTGAAAAAGCCGGGGCGGCCCAGCTTTGACGGCCTTGTAGACAAACATCATGTGTTGATGCCTTTTAAGTTTTTACACGTGGTTAGCTGTGAGCTCACAATCGGCACAACATTGCTCCAGAGTTTTTCATTGCAGTCTGTTTGTTCAGTCTGTGTGTCTGCCCCCCCCCCCTCTCCCCCTGACACTCACTTCCCTTGGCCCTAACTTCATTACTCCATGCATCTGTCCCTGCTCAGGATGTACGTGACACGATCCTGGACGGCCTGACGCCGGATGATGTTCGCATGCTAATCGAGTCCGAGGACGAGGCAAGTCACTGTCACCAGTCACTACTGCGTGATCAGTATTACCAACAGTACATAACCCCCAAGAGTGTGCAACTGCCTGCACAACCTCTATGCTGTGCTGCGACGCCAGAACTTCACATCACGTGACATGGTTCAATAGGCTACGCTGGCTATTAAAGAGTGCAAAATGACCAGCGAAGAGAGTTGAGCCCAAAGCAGCTGACAGCTGACATTATGCAAAATATGGATGAAAATGCCAACCATCACTCGGACTTTGTAGAATAAATTCTTTAAACGAGGTCTGTACATATCTGTCCTCACCTCCCCCGCCCACTCACCATCACACGCACGCTTGCACACACCCTTGCATGCACCCCCCCCCCCCCTCCCCCCCAAACACACACGCATACACCCACACATACCCACCTACTCACACTCCCTCCCGCATATTATCGGCAGGCACACAGATATACAAACTCGCAGGATTCCACACATCATCGTCACCTTCTCCTCTTCCTCGCATGTACCACTTCATGTTTTTTTTTAAGGCACGTCTTGCACTTATCCCTGTGGTCCTGTATCTACGATGCATTCATCCTCTCCATTGCAGTTTAACCGTCGCGGTGGTTTTCAGCGCGTGTTCCCAACCAGCGACACAGACGCCTACGAACCGTTCTTCGACATCCCGGTAAGATGATAATGTTGCCATGGGGATTAGGCCCGCCGGAACCGGTCCGGTTGGTCAGGTCATCACCGGAATTAATTTTTTTTGTGGCAGAACTAATAAAGCTTTCGTGGAAGGCCTGTTCAGCTGGTTTTGTTCATTGTGATTCTCAGAATACTGTCACCTCGCCGCCTCTTTAAAAGAATGCTGCGGAGCGCATTATGCTCAGTTCTGTGTTATAGTAACTTATAGTAACTTATCCTCCAGTAAATACAGTACATTTATGTAGTCTTTCGTGAGCTACAGTCAACTTTGCGTATAACGACACTCGGCGGGGCATCAGAAAAGTGTCCCTATTCGCGAAGTGTCCTTATACCCGAAGTCTCATTATATGTATTACGGTTAGATGGGACTTTGCTCTGGGCATGGGAATTTTGCCGTTATTCACGAACTGTGGTTGTATCCGCAGTCGTTATTAGCGAAGTTGAGTGTATTCCAAGCAAGTCGGATGTATGCAACTACTATGCATGTAGCAATGCCTGGTGTGAATGTAGTAAAGCCTTTATTAATGGTGAGAGTGTGTACGTTTGTGTGCGTATGTGCGTGCGTGCGTTCATGTGTGTGTGTGTGTGTGTGTGTGTCCCATATGGTGCAGTGGTATGTGCAGCGATTTCCAATCGATAGATTGCGGGTTCGATTCCCGACGATTATGGTCACACACGTCTTTCTTCTCTTTCTCAGACTCTTCCTGACTTTTCTTTCATTCTCCTGGGTGGTTACCAACAGCCAGTGCATGCCAGAGTATGTGGTGTGATGTGTGTGGGGAAAAAAATGAAAAAGACCAAAAATAGGGATTCACTGGCCAGAAAATGTCACTCCAAATAGCTGTATGGTGTAGACCAGGCTGAATAGTGACGGTCAATTCTTCAGCCTTGCAAGCTGTTGAATGGTGTAATCCCAGCACAAGTTGCTATGGCTTATGCCGTAGCATTGCTATCATCGCCTCCGGCGATGGGCGTAAAAGGTCAAAGGTGTGTGTGTGTGTGTGTGTACGTGTGTGTGTGTGTTTGTTTCTATGTGTGTGTGTGTGTGTGCGCACGCGTGCGCGCGTATCTTCCTTGTCCATGTGACGTACACTCCTACACAGCGCTACTATAACATGTTGTTGAGTGAGTGGATTCAGCGCTATCGCTCTGCACCACAGCTAGGTAAGGGCATCAGCCGTAGTGGCGTCTATTGTGTTACCTACATTGAAGTACGTCACATGTCAAGTCACATGACCACCACCAGTCACGTGATGTGTCACGTGATGTGTCAGATGGTCACTATCAGTCACATGATCCGTCAGATGGTCACTATCGGTCAGGTAATCCGTCAGATGGTCACTATCAGTCAGGTGATCCGTCAGATGGTCACTATCAGTCAGGTGATCCGTCAGATGGTCACTATCAGTCAGGTGATCCGTCACATGGTCACTATCAGTCACGTGACCACTATCAGTCACATGGTCACTATCACTATCAGTCACGTGACCACTATCAGTCATGAGACCAGTCACATGGTCACTATCAGTCATGTGACCAGCCACTACTCCACCCACATGATCTCTGATCAGTCACATGGTAGGTCACATGACCCCACAGACCTTCTTTTTGTTTCCGGAGGACAGACATGTTGTGAATCTTGTGACGCGCGCGCGGCAGCAGGTCACTGGACAACATTCCAAGGGGAATACACCATGTATGGGCCAGTACCGTGCCCTCCATCTCTGAAGCCTGTCCTCACAGGCATGGAGGCCCGGTATGCCTTGGAGAACCTGCCATTGGCAAGCATACAGTACTGTCGAGAGCCGAAAAACGAACAGGCTAGAATTTCACCAAACATAGCATACCAATGTATACACGGTGACTCGACGGCGCATAGACTGTCATTCATGAAAAATAAGTTCACGGTCTAGGCTAGGAGGCTGACCCCCCCCCCCCCCCCCCCCCTCCCCAGTTCTTCACCAACCACCAGTACTGTAATGAGCATGGAACATACTGCATGTATCACGGGGACTTTGAGATTGCTCTCTCTATGCCTTGTGCTACATTGCCTCATCGCCTCTGCCAGACGTTTTCCCCGAGGCAAATATGGATTGAAACCTCTACTGTTAGCATCGTTCGCTATCATTGGCCTTCGTACCTAAGATTTTGTAATGTGTGTGTGTGTGCATGTGTGTGTGTGTGTGTACGTACGTACGCATGTGCGCACACATGTGTGTGCATGTGTGTTTGTGTGCATGTGTATGTGTGTACGTACGTATGTATGTGTGTGTGTGTGTGTGTGTGTGTGTGTGTGTGTGTGCACGCGCACATGTGCATGCGACCATGTGTGTGCATGTGCGTGTGTGTATACATGCATGCACGTTCCGACCACCCTGTATGTCACACAGGAATATCATACCTGCAGGAACAGGCGCACAAGCGCATGCACCTGAAGACGGCACGCAAGCTGGAAGAGCAATGGCGACCGCCGGAGAAGGCCAAGCAGCTGACGTTTCCGAGCGGACGACTTCGCGGGCCGTTATCAGCACTGGCACCACCACCGCCACCACCTGCTCCACTCCAGCGTTCCAAATCCTCACCGGCGCCAGCACCACCGCCTCTCAAGGACAACAGCAAGCCGAGCACACATCATTTCTCGCGTCGCGGTCCGACCGGCAGCGCCACCTCCAGCGTGGTGTCCGTGAAGTCCGCGTCCTCGTCCCTTGCCGCCTCGCGAACGCAACAGGCGAGCAAGACCAAGCCCAGGCTGTCCAAAGGTGCCACGGTAGATAAACACAAGCCCGTCGGTCGAGCGCGCGCCGGATCTCTCCCATCGCCACGGCTACGTCGTCGACAGTGCTCGCACGGCTGCGCCGAGGCGGTGTGCGGCTGTGGCTGCGGAGTGCCGCGGATCCGTACGTTCGCCGTTCCGTACCCTCTACCCGTGGAGAGCAGTGGCATGGTATGTGAGAATACCGGCGACGCTCACCACCACCAGCAACACCATCATCAGTATCAGCATCACGAGCAGCAACACCACCATCAGCATGCGTACTGTGTCGATCACCCGTCCTCGCACAACTCCCTCGCGTCGGTCGCCAGCAACGACTCCGGCGTCGACGACCTCAGCCAGACGTCTGTAATATCCTCCACGGTCGGCAGTGCTGCCATGGTAACGTCAAGCACCGCCGTGGTCGCCGATGCACTTTCACGGACTACAACGACTACCACTGCGGCCGGCAATTCTCCCGTACGCATCGGCTCCTTTTCCAAAACGGCACCGTCGTCGGCTACCAATAGCAGCAGTGCGATAGCAAAGTCGCATACAAAAGCATCCAAGTCGTCATCGACGCGCCAAGCCCAGAAGCCCGCCAGCACCGGTCAGCGACAGCCGTACGCTCTACAGCCGATACGGCAGGACCCAGTGGCGGCGGGGGCTATGTCGACTGGCGTCCCACGCGCCAGCCTTGCTACGGCGCACGGACGATTCGTACCGATGAGCTCGTCGACGGTGGAGATCATGCCCCTGGAGCGAGGCGGCGCCAAACCCGGATCGTACCGCGGCGATTGTCCGTCGGTGTACAGCGATTCGCTGACGACGACGCGCACACTGCAGGCCGCCAGTGCAGTCTTGGCGCTGCAGCAGGAGCGGACTCTACCGCCACCCGCCCGAGCACTACCCAAAATGACGGCAAGGCAAAGGTATGTGCTGGAATCATTGGTCCAATGCAATGGGGCATATGCACAAGCAAGTCCACCAAAATGGTACACACTGTGATACCAGTCTAGTCCTGCATCAAAGGTCATGAACTGTGTATGGTCATAATCACAAATGTACTACGACTGGCTGTACATGCCAAATATGGGACAAGTTGCCCATCAGGAAGGTGGCGGCCATGTTTTATGCATAAACCTCATTGTGCTATACGGTGGGCCCTCTATAATCCGGCAGCATTTGTGCCACGGAAAATCTGCTGGATTAGGGAGGGTGCTGGATTAACAAATCGGATTTACTGCTGCAATGTGCATGAAGAGGACATTTTGGCTACTGAAAATTGTGCTGGTTTATCGAGGGTGCTGAATTGTAAAGTGCCGGATTAGAGAGGGACGACTGTACATTACTATCGGGCGCCGAAGAACGCAGCGCCGAAGAACGCAGCGCCGAAGAACGCAGCGCCGAAGAACGCAGCGCCGAAGAACGCAGCGCCGAAGAACGCAGCGCCGAAGAACGCAGCGCCGAAGAACGCAGCGCCGAAGAACGACCAGGCTAGAATTTCACCAAGCACAGCATACCAATGATGTATACGCGGTGACTCAACTGCACATAGACTGTATACATGAAGATGAGAACGGTCTGCGCTAGGAGGCCGACCCCTAGTTCTTCGGCGGCCGACAGTAGTGTAGTTTCAATTAATTTGTTGATGTCATCTTCAGCTGATCTGTCGCTGTATAGTGGGAATGGGTTGGTTCTTTTCTTCTTTTTTGACCAAACAAGAACCGTGGAGTGTGGCGAGTGAAGTGTCTGTGCCGGTGTCTGTAAAGCGGTGTGTGGTATTGTCTGATCACAAGAAGGACATGTCACTGCAGTCAGACCTCGCTTATCCGGTCCTCTTTTATCCGGAAGAAAATCGTTGGTTACCGATTTACAGCATATGGCATGCATACATACAGTTTGTGTGTTCGATTATCCGCTTCCCTCGCCTGTCCGGATATTTTTGTGGAAAACGGATGTGTGCGGTTGAGCGAGGTCTGACTGTACCAAGATTAGACAGGCCCGCCGGAACCGGTCCGATTGGTCGCGTCATCACCGGAGCAACTTGTTGTCTGCCAATCAATGCATGTTTACTGCGGAGGAGATTCATGTCCGCCCACTATCATATACAAAGTATGTGCCATGAAGTGGAGACGATAAATAAATAAATAAATAATTAAAGTAGGAATGGCTGTGGTATGGCTGGTCCAATCGTAGTTGAAATGCACATTGGCCGGCGTTCTTTGCACGTTGTCGTATTATTTTGTTTCAATTCGCTTTTAAAGCACAGGCAGCACTGGCTTCTCACCAGAGATTGGCTCTCTGATTCGTACCAAAAACGAAAGTGGTATAGATTGTTAACCCTTCACCATCCGTGCGTACTTGGATCGATCTCTAGAGATCGATGGACATGCATACACTAAAACATTCGTAACACCGATCGATTCTTGGCGTTAACTATAAAATAGTCGAAGAATGAAAGTGTGAAAGGGAAGAAGATAGCAACTACGAAAGTGGTCCTTTACCAACGATCCATGTACATGTACATGATAAGAAATTTACCAACTCAAGCACCTGTGATCTCTGGCTATGCAAGCCATGATGGCATCAGTCAGTGTCGATTGACGCCAACAAGACTGCTGTTTTCATGTATATGCTGGGCTCAGCTGCTTCCCTGCGTTCTCGGCGATTCATATTTGCTCAGCGGCTTTGCTAACATGTGGTGTGCTGGCGTTGTTGTTCTCTATGCAGATCGGAGCCGCCACTACCCACGATACGCAGAGGTTTGCCGAGCCAGCGACGTGCTTGAAAGCCCGGCTTTGCCGTCGAAGATATTTCTGTCGCCGTCGAAATTCTACTTGATGAGTACTAGTACTGTATTTCCACGATTATCAGTCGCACCCCCGTTTTCAGGTTTGAGCAATATCGTTATGACACAATCACTTCAGTAGTAAGTCATGCTCGATTGTAAGTCCCACCCCCCTTTTTTACCCTTGGGTTTTAGTGTAGAAAGGTGCGCCGTGACTTTTATTCAGGGCAATATGGTATGTAACGACAATGCATTATCGTTCCATTGTGGATTGATTGTGGTGTGGCTCTGCTGATATTATGTCCATCTTGAACTTGAGACGCACATTCAATCGTGATCCATCAGGAAGTGCAGTGCGAATGCAACACGACTTTCATACTGCTTTATCACTATCGGTATTGTATGACCACAAGTGTGTGCTCTCTCTCTCTCTCTCTCTCTCTCTCTCTCGCGCGCGCGCGCGTGCGCTTGGAGTAATGCGCATCACTGCATCCACGCAGTTGGTTAAGTCGAACGTGCAGCACAGGCTCTGTAGATGGGTTCGCTGATGATTGGGGTGATTAGCGGACAAGTCCACATTGAAATCCCCCAACACCGTTAAAGACGTGGCTGAAGAGCCAGCACTATGCATGGCACTTTCTAAATCAGTCCAAAACTCCACGGATGTGTCGGGGGGCCTGTAGGCGCAGCCGACACGGTGATGCTGTCGATGTATCTGTACGTCAACCCACACCAGCTCTAAGCCGCTTACGCTTAAATCTGGGCGTGGTTTGATTGGCAGGGTGGATTTGTAATAGATACACGTGTCGCCACCTCGCGTGCCGCTGCGATCGGTCCTTGTGAGACTGTATCCAGGAATAGCTACTTCTCCGTCACCAATAGTGCTGTCCAGCCAGGTTTCGGCCAATCCAAAAATATCAAAGTCCTGCACCCGGAGGAGTGCCGTTACTTCATCTACTAGTTGTAGCAGACATTCAAAAAACCTAGTTTAAGCGTTCGGGTATCCTGGGTGCTCACCGGAAAACTGATGGTGGCAGCTCGTGGAGAGAATACCTGAGCATGTGGATTTAAAGACGATAATTATAGCAGTGAAAAGTAGTAAGTAGTTAGAAAAAGAACAATCATGAACGAGGGCTAGCATAGAATCGAGATTACAAGCAGAAGTTTACCGGTTATTGGCTTCCTTGCCGACTCCTCACACGTTGGGCAAGGCGGTGCATCTCTTTTGCAGATGCCTCATTTGCGCATGCGACCTGGGGGTCGAATGCCAGGACTCTTGCGCTGAATGTGTGCTTGCCTGATGCGCGGATGAATCCTTCGTCATCAGGTGAAGAGTGACACCCCGTCCCACGAAAGAGCAGAAATGCCGGCACTCCACGTGTGGCCTCTTCTGCTGGCAGGGTTGTTGGCGGTTATAGCGTGGGTGTTTGAAAAACGACTTTCTATTCTTATTTCCGATATTTCTTACACACGATATCGACAATCAAGTGTGACACTATTATCATGTGCATGTGCGCAGAGGCAAGAAGATCATCATACATGCAATAGTGTTACTATGCATGCGGCTGGTTATAGTCACATACCGGTAGGCTTACCATGTGGCGATGCAACAATGAGTTACTACAACAGTTGAACCAGTCCTGCACTCCATGCTAGCACTACGACCCAACGCGAGTCAGATCGGAACTGTATTGGACGGATGTTATTACTACAGGTGATATACTTTGTACTAATCTGGTATGTTTTGCTACACAAAGTCCATTCTTAGGACAGATATATTCTACAGTACGATAATATTGCTTGTACGAATAAATGTGCGCTTGAAATCCATAATATGATTATGAAAACATGAGAGTTCATTCTTGTAGGCAGTACATTCTTTTACACGACCACGCTATAACCGATACGCACTGTACTCCATTTGCGTATGTCGCGTGTCGCATGTCGCAAAAGTTGAACTTTCTTCAACTTCTGCGACAGGTGCATTGCAACAGCTCGCGACAGGCAGTTTCTTGTCGCAACTGTCGCAAATCGCGTGTCGCGTCGCAGAAAGTTGTATTGTGAATCGGACGGTCCCGCAGCCCAGGTCCGAGGTCCGTTTCTACTGTTATCCCATGGTACGGTAATAGGGCTTGAAAGTGATGACGTCAAAACGGCCAGGGAGTACTAAGTTGACATCAGATTTCTATTTTGGATCCACTTCAGGCCGATTCACAATACAACTTTCTGCGACGCGACAAGCGACTTGCGACACATGCGACGAGCTGCGACAGCGACACACGGTTCACAATATTCTTCATGTTTGCGACATCCTCGAGGCCTCATGCACAAGTACATGTAGTACTATGCACGTGCACTGCACGTGCACCCAGGGTCGAAACTGTACTCCATATGTGTATGTCGCGTCGCATGTCGCAAAAGTTGAACTTTCTTCAACTTCTGCGACAGGTGCATTGCAACAGCTCGCGACAGGCAGTTTCTTGTCGCAAATCGCGTGTCGCGTCGCAGAAAGCTGTATTGTGAATCGGGCTTAAGGTGTGACTTTGCTATTGCCTCAGTATGTGGGTGCATAGCAACCCACTCATGTCGTATGCAGGGGGTGAATTTTACTTCACCACCAGTTGTAACCCTGCCCCCAGTAGCCAAGTCAGTCAGTTTCACTGGTTACATCACCTTGCTGTGAGTAAGACGGCTTGAAATGTGCTTGGATCCATACAAAAACTGGATCCAAGTGGATCCAATTTTTGAATTTTTGAAATTGTTGGTATGCTGTGACGTAGCACTTTCAAGCCCTATAGACCTGTTTCAGCCAATCAGGAGCCTTGCTGACCGGAAAATAAGTATAGGATATTGACCAAGACGAGGTCTATATGGGAAATATAGGCCGAGTAAAAGACCGAGGTCCGCCGACAGTGCCGTCCAGCTCACCAATCAGTATCGCGAGAAGCTTGTCGGTGAGTCTCCCAGCAGCGTGCAGAGTCGTATGGCAAAGCGCAATGAGGACCGCAAGCGGCTCGGCGTCCTTGCCTATCGCTACATGCAGCCTAAATACATGCCCAACAGTATTGTCATTTGAGCCTTGGAGTATCTTTGGACGAGTCCGCTCGTCAGTGCTCCTCTTTCTTGCATTATTTTGCCTTTTAACAATGATATTTCTACAATGTGATCAAAGCCAAGAGGAACAGTGTTTATAACTTAATATCAAAATCCCTACCAGCTCAACATGTTATCGCCTGAAGTCCATACTATTTTATCATTTCAGCAACCACTATTGTTGATGACTACTGCATTGACCAAGCAGTCTTGACCAAATCTCTGAAACAGACAAACGCTACTACATTCTAGATATTTGAAGCTGATGTCTATCACATATCGAAGCCAGTCTATTTTTCGAGTTCATGGACTATACTAAGCAATACTAATTGTATTACACGAGTGCATATTGCTGATTCTGAGCTCTTACGTATGCATGTACCGTAAAGTACCGTTGATCCGCCCCCTGTCGATTTTCTACCTGTGAAGCGACTTCGGCGTATACAACGAAAATACGATGTTGAACCGACGTAGAGAGAGAGAGTGTGTGTGTGAGAGAGAGAGAGAGAGAGAGAGAGAGAGAGAGAGAGAGAGAGAGAGAGAGAGAGAGAGAGAGGGAGAGAGAGAGAGAGAGAGGGAGAGTGTGTGTGTGTGTGAGAGAGAGAGAGAGAGTGTGTGTGTGTGTGTGAGAGAGAGGGAGAGGGACACACACACACAGACGCGCCAGCATGTACCCTCCGATGGAGAGGGACACACACACATGCACACGCGCCAACATGTACCCTCCCATCACGGAGAGACACTCCAAGCCATGATAGTAGTGGAAGGAATAAATAGAATTGCAGGACAAGAAATAAAATCGGAAATAAATAAAATGCACGTCCGATGAACTCTGACTTTGACAGTAATAATGTTACACACTGAGAAACCTTGTGTGGAAATGCAGAACTCAAAAAATGCCCATCCTAATACAGACAGAATCTGCTCAAGAATTTTTGAAAAGCCTAAACCTCCTAATAAGGTAGGTCCTGTGATGCGGGTAATCATTCGTCTATAGCCGAAGAGAAAAAAAATTGTAAATTTGTTTGAACTAAAAAAGAATGATGATATTGGTCGATGCGAGAATCTGTCGGGTAATAATTATGTGATTAATAATTTATGAAGTAATTGAACAAGATAGTTTCTAAACTGGTTCTGTTCGCCGTGCGAGCGCGTGTTTGAATAATCGCCATGACGGCGGGTACGATTTTGCATAAACAATTTTGAATACCACCTGAGGTGCAGGGTACGGGTTAGAGGGGAGGGGGGGGGGGGAGATAAAATGCGACCATACCGGGTCGTGCAATGACAACGCCAGTCATACTTGAAAAAATTAGGGGGGGGGGGGGGGAAAGAAGCATTCGACATAAATTATTTGTCTTCAAAAGCTTCAAAGCGTAAAATTCAAATGCAGGTAGATACGGAGATATTGTAATATGGTGGTCAGAGTCGCACGCAAAGGATCAACTTGTCGGTTCGAAATCGCGGAGCAGGTCGACACAATCTCCCCGCAGCAGATCCCGGTCGTGCACAACATGAATAAATAAAGCTGTTCCGTAAAGCTACTGGTTAATGCCCTGCGAGTGCAATACGTAACGGTGTGTGTGTGTGTGTGTGTGTGTGTGTGTGCGCGCGTGCGTATGTGTGTGCGTGCTGCAGGCGATATGCCACAGCACCAACACCGTTCCCGGTGCACGAGTGCATGTGATAGCTTTCTTGAAATGAGCAGCGCAGACAAAGCTGCCGTACACATCTCCACCATACCTAGCAGACCCACAACCATCATGACATCATGATGACATCATCGCTCTTACCTCAACACGTACTGAAGGGGGCTGCTCAAGTCGCATGGCAAGGTGGCATGTGACAGCACTGGCCGTACAGCGCACTGCAGATCGCTGGCTGCTGCCTAGACCTGCTTACTGGCGGGGCGCGACACGAGCAGCGGGATGAAGCCCATCACAAAGCCGACGTCGAGGCGCGGATTGGAGCGCATCACGTCGGAGCGCGTGGCCGCCATGATCACAATGTGTATGTACGTGCCCAGCCCGGCCAGCAGGTGCCACCACGCGTGGAACTCCAGCAGGACGGGGGCAAATGACCCGGGCCCGGTGGCCCGCAGGTCGCGCAGCGCGGCGCACAGGTGCACGTCCACCTTCCACACCGCCATGCCCAGCAGGTACACGGCCAGGCCGAACGCAAACATGCGCCAGTAGCGCGGGTACTCAACGAGCGTCTGCACCGTTTTCACCACCAGCACCACCACCATGACCACGTACACCACCTGGTGGAACACCGGGTGACCGATCAGGATGTAGAACGCGCACACCAGTGACGTCATCACCATCAGACCCGCCGCGAGCAGGTAGTTGGGCTTGGCCGTGTCGGATTTGATCTCGACGGCGCAGTAAATCAATGTGCTCGTCACGTACAGCATGCTCAGCTCGTCCACCAGCTGCATCGGGTACGTCAGCGTCATGTGGAACAGCCACGAGCCGAGGCCCACCACGAACAGGCCCAGGAACGACCAGAAGAACCTCTGCTCGCCGCCGCTGCGGTACACCCTGACGGCGCCATGCAGGCCGAACAGAATCATCAGCAGATTGGAGAGCGTGTTCCACCACTCGGCCACGTAGAAATTCCACACGTAGTTCGACTCGCACCAGTCCAGGGTGGCCGTGGCCGGCTCCCAAGCGCCTTGGAAATCATCTCCACTGGTCAGCTTCGGCACGAACATTTTCCAGGCGCACGACAATTTAGATTTTAGTACACAGGGGAGAGAATGTTTTCAGGCTGATCCACAAGAACATGCGGGTAGTACAGATCAGAGAACTAACTTCTGGCGATACAGTAATAAAACCAAGCAGAAGACAAAGAGACGGGCACACAAAGACACGACAACCGGCTCGCGAGCTGCGTTGCAACGTTGCAAGGCTGAATGATGGGGTCAAACAACAAAGTCGATTTGACCTGTTCGTTGAAGTGAATCAATCAAGGAATCAATCAATGAGCATGAGATGGAGTCGCAAAAAAGGTCACCTGAAGCATGCATGTCATGGCATATGCATGCGCGCGTTGCCTAGGCTAGGCTAGTATGGCGCGCCGCCTACGAAAAAGAGGGGACCGGGATCGGCTACAGTGTACCATGGTGTACAGGTGTAGGCTCGGCTTGACTCCAACACTCGTCACGTGAAAACTAGGGAGTCGTAAAATACCAGTATTTTTACGACTCCATGACACTGCATGCAGTCACCTGGTCACTCAGTGGTCTTCGTCACTCAAGCTAGCAGCATCAGGCCAGCTGGCATGCAGCCCATGCATGGCAAATCCTGCTCAAAATTAGGGCTGAAACGATTATAATAATATTATTATATACCGAATAATCGAGTACTCGTTTGATATTAATAAAAAAATAAACTCTACCGATTACGATTATTTTGCGTTTTTTAAATTTGTGTCCAGAAAGTACTGTAAACTGGTAAACCCTCCCTCAGTTCGTTTTCTTTGTATTTAACTCCTCATTGTTTTTTTACCAGGCGTGGGCCATCCCCTGACTTCATAGGTGCCAAACATTTTACGTTTTTCAACTTCAGTACTTCGTACATGCATTTTTGTATACATGAATCATTTTTCGTAAAAATGGCCGCTGTATATATTTCACGTGAAAGAAATAAATTTTCTCTTTGGTAAACCCTCGTTTTGTGAAGTTTGAATCAGTTTCCGCTGGGAGTATGCAGTTGCCAGGGGTATGGTTCATGTTCTGAGGTTAACTGCCATGTTTCGGAGCTACCCTTTCACTAGTGCAGATTTGTTGGTATTATGAAGGCATAGTTTGTGGAAACAGAGTAATGTTTGCACAGAATTATGACACTATTTGCTAACGATTATAATCGATTACTCGAAAAGAGTAATCGATACGTGAAAATCCACGATCGTTTCAGCCCTACTCAAAATACAGTGATATACAATCATGTACGAGTATATTGTACAATACAGTCATGTAAATAGCAAAACCAATAAACAAGCTTGTGTAAGTTATGGCAGACAGTTCCTCGGGTCCTCTTCTTTATCCGTCATGTAGGGACATGCATGAAAGGCATACCAGAAAGTATTCTAATTGTCCGGAAACAATACCAGAAAGTACTACAGTACC